TTCTTCATTGTCAGTTTCTAGGTCATCATCATCTTCTACATCACTATCATAATCGTTGTATTGGAATGCGCTTAGATCATTTTCAGTATTATCAATTATTAAACTGGTGTTGTTTTCGTAAAGGACATCCCTAACAGCTAAATGAATGCCATGGGCAAAACATAACTGATGGTCAACTTCACTCAAATGACCGAGTTTTACCATAACTGACATTTAATTTCTTTTGTACATTTTTTACATTTTACTACTTGTTTAGTTGTAGATAAATAATAATGCCAAACCGAATTCACTACGCTCTCTTTTCTATGTTCTTGAAATATATTGGTTTCTAATTATAATGACCGTTAACCGTCGAACCGTGCGGACGTGTTTTTTGAAGTGTCGTAATGTCTCTGACACAATTAAATATTCCGGAATCGGATTCCAAAAAAACCTACAACTGCTGTGAAACAAAACCTTCTGCAAGTGTGGGTGTTTGTAAGAACTGTGGCAAAATTTACCATGTGAGTTGTGCAACAAGAAAAGGTTTCAAATTCATTGTTGGAAATTTGATACAGTGCTGTGAGGTGAGCAGTGAAGTGTCGAGTGACAAACATATGGATACTATTAAAAACTTAAAACAAACAATTACCGACAAAAATACCATAATAAACGATAAAATGACAATAATAAAGGATAAGGAATACATAATTCAGAATCTTGAAGAAAAAATTAAGATGCTCCAATTATTAAAGCCAAATGAAAAGAAAAAAGAAGTTTCGTCAGCTGTACCCAATATTGATAGTGATACTGAGAAAGCAGCATTCAAGAAGCTTAAACATAAATCTACCAATAAAAACAGTGCCAATGCTAATAAGGTGTCAAAAGAACAGGTGAGTGTTGCAGTAGCAACTGCTTTAAAGGAATTAGACAAGCATAGAAGCGAAACATTCCGAGATGCGGTTGCCAACACGGAGCTGCCTACTAAATCGACCCAAGCTGAACAACATCCAATTAAAGCAAATGACGATGGAAACTGGACTTTGGTCCAGAAAAAGAAGTCGCCGAAACGAAAAAACAAAGCCATAGAAGGAACAAATGTGAGCACTACACTCGCAGGAGTTGTGAGGAAGGCCCACTTGCATGTGTTCCGCCTGGCACCGGAAACATCGACGGAAACTCTAAAAAATTATTTAAATGAGAAAAACTTCAAAAATATTGAATGTGAGAAAATGGCTTCAAAACATCCGAAAACATATGCCTCTTTCAAGGTCTCCGTTGCAGAGAGTGAATTGGAAAGAATAAAATCTCCGGATGTTTGGCCAAAAGGAGTCTGTGTGGACCGTTTTTTATTCCATTTGGGAGAAAAAACGAAGAAAAATTGTTAAGCTGGTTTAATATATAATGTCCTTGAACATTCAATGTTTATCCAATAAAACGAAGGCATTAACAAAAGTTGTCCATGACAATAAAATAAACATTTTTTTTTTATGTGAACATTGGCTTGGCAACGAGCAAATCGACCTGTATACGTGATTTTCGGCTAGTCAGCTCATTCTGCCGTAGTATACATATGCACGGAGGTGTTGCTATTTACTGTCGGAAAGAGATAGAATGTTGCGTCGAGATTGAATGCAAGCTTCCCAATGAATGGAAATTTAAAAGCAGGAATTATTTCAACGCGACAGTCAAAGAACATCTTCTAGATAAACCTATTTATACAATAAATGAATTCTTTAATCTAAGTTAATTGTTAATTGTCATTAGGTTAATCTTGAGTTGTTCATAAATATCATTGATATTATTATAGTTATATTATAATATTGTGATAAAAATAATAATAATAATTGTAATGACGTAAATTGTAATTATTGAATTTAAATAAAGTATCTAATTTGATTCAAAAACAATCGTTTTAAAATCAACAATTTTGCAAATTCAACGATCTTCCTAAAATTGTATCTACTTATTGAAAAATCTCCGCACTGAATTCCTATTTACAAATAATTATTTTAGTCAATTTATAGTTTCAAACAAGCACAAATTTATCAAACTTTACTCTAAAATTGTATCTACGTGTTGAAAAATAACTTCGCACTGAACTAATAATTTCTATTCTAAAACAGTTATTTTATTAAATTAATTCAACTAAACAAATTTTGATCTAAATTTGTATCTACGTACTGACAAAACACTTTGCAATGAATAGCATGTGAAGTTGTAGTGAACGAGTTTTCAATTGATTCTCCAGTGACTTTCACAAGGAAAAATTAATTCCCCACATAAATGTCAAAAAAATAGTAGTGGTAACAATACTGTAACAAAAGTATTGATACTTTTTATCAAAATCTAAAAATAGCTCTTTTATTAAAACAATTATCAAAGACCAAAAACTTATAGATTAAATTACAATATTATAATCAATGGATATAATATTTCCACCACATAACTTTCAGTATCTTGGTTCCATTTCTGGATGTGTATAATTGTTCAGCATTGTGATAGTTCTTCTATCCTCCCACGCAAGACGTGTAATATTATTTTTTCTATATGCTACAGTTTTTTTTTTCTTCTGAAAATTTTGTTTTATGAATTTCCATAGGTATGGCTTTTCGATTAACTTTTATTGTGCCAGTGAGATGGCATTTCATCTTTACTAATTCCTCTGCTAAAGGAATACTGGTATAAAATCAGGAATTTACAGGAAATAGACCATTAAGCATATTACTCTGGTCTAAGTCTGTTTGTTTTGCGGAAGTAGCATTTTCAGATAACTTTTGCAGTGTTAATTTCATTTATGACAAATACATTCAAGCATGTATTTTTCCCTCTATTACATTTTGCAATTTGTTTGTTTATGGAAAAAACAACTAAAATCTCTTTGTGTTCCCCGTTCACAAACTTCCTAAACTGGTTGACGATATGACTGTGGAGTCATGACAAGAGGGCTCAAATAATCGCCCCCATTAGACAGTGTGGCACATAAGGGCGCTTCGTCGCCAGTGCTGCACCCTGGAGACTCATTAAATACAATTATTGGTTAATGATGGAAATCTAAAAATTGTTTTTTATTTATCTGTAATATATAGCATTTTTTCATGACATGTAGGTTGTTTCACTTACTATCTTCAACATATTATATATGAATAAAACAAAAAAAATTAAATGAACTTACCTGTTAAAACGGATGATTTTAAAGATAATTTAGGATTGCACAAATCAGAAAACCATTCAGCAATATCCGTACAAGGTTAGCATATTCAACTCCATTCAATTTGGTAATAAGAAAATAAGGATGGTCTTGAATTGCCCTTTCAAATCCACTGCCATAAACATCAATGCGTGATTTGCCAAATCAGGATACTCCCCACAGAGAGGTTTTCTGGTGAATGGATCAAGACCAATATCTGTATATCCAAAACGCCTTCCATGTTTTGTTGTACTATGATAAAATTGCAAACAAGTGGTTCACCTGTAGTTTCAGAATAAATAGTAAGTCTTTCCAAAATACTTCTATTGAATCCCGGAGTCGAATCCAATAAGCACAGCCACTGTCAAATTGTCGATGGCGCAGGCAATAAATTTCCGAATTGTTGACAAACGAAATCGTAGGCTCTACTCGAGTAAAACTGTAGGATCATCGGAAATTTTCGAATTTCAGGCTCATACGTCGTTCGTTTCGCTTCGAAGGTTCTGCTTTCGTTTTGATTCAAATCACCGAGTACTGCAGGCATATTGTCCTTAAAAAGGTAAGGTGTAATGAAAATGAGTATACCAAAAAATGTATGAAATTTTACGTGATTATATTTATTTGCTTAACTACACACATACATTATAGTATGTTCCTTTAGTAATGGAGAAAATTATATGTGATAAACATATACCTTTCAAATACACTATGTGTAATATAATGTCTATGGTGATAACATTTCACTTACAGTGATATGCTGTACAGCATCAGAATTACTAAGGAATGTCCTCTTCATGGAGATCACAGCATCACGTAATTTGTTGATATGCTTACTTTTGTTTTTTGTTAAGTTGTCTCGTGAGTTTATAAATGGTTTTGTTTTTCACAGTAATCCGTTTCTTCAAAATCTCGATAAATTTTCTTGCTGAATTCGGTGTCCTTATGTTTGAAGTACAAATATCACCAGTGTTGCTTTGCTTGAAACTGGAATTGACGTCTCCATGAAAGCTGTATCGTCTAGCGATGATTCAGAGACGCCTGTATCTAAAAAAAACATTATATAGTTGCATATAAAATGTATATTACATAGTTTACATCAGGCATCGGCAACCTACGGCACGCGTGCCAGGCTTGGCACGCGAAGGGATTCTGAATGGCACGCTACAAAAAAATTAGGAAAATCGCAAATATATCGAGACGAAGTGATTATTAAATAAGAGAAAATGTTGAAAATAAGAGAGAAAGTTTGATTATAATGTGGTTCGCTAATTTCATGAAAATCTGCGCGAAGGTTGATTGAGACCGCATTCGGAGTAAAAGGGATGAAACATGTGCAGTGCCGAGTAGTTATCGAAGCGGCCTTCACGAAGCTGAATGTTGGAGTATCACTCGCCCCCCTCTTTCTCGTTCATCAACTGCGAGTGCTGCGCACCATTTGCTTGTGTGCTTGTGCGGTGGGCTTAAACTTGCGCAGTTAAACTTGCATTTCGTTTGGTCGCTACTTTTCGTTCTAACTTTTTTTGTGAAGACTTGTATCTTATTGATTTTATATTTGTTATAATTCATTCGTATTTAATCAAATGGAGAGTAAGAAACAAAAATTAGATGTTCGCGGTTTTCAAGACTGTTGGACGAATGAATATGGATTTATACAACAAAAGGATCGTGCTGTATGTGCGATATGCCGCGAAAGTGTAGTATGCCGCACGTCAAGTGTACAAAGACATTTCCAAACCAAACATCAGTCCACATTTAATAGCAACGATGAGAAATGTGAAACTATAAAGAAAGCTGTTTCTTGTTGTAAGAAACAAATAACTTTTTTTGTGGAATGACTGGAACGAAGGCTAAAGCGACAGAATGCAGCTTCGCAATTGCTCATTGCATAGCTGCCAAAGGCAAACCCTTTACAGATGGAGAATATATAAAAGAAATTTTTATAAAAAGTGCTGAAAAGTTGTTTAGCGATTTACCTAACCAACAAACCATATTATCCCGAATTCAAGAAATACCGGCTTCTGCGCGAACAATTGAAAGAAGAATAACTGAAATGGCAGACAATGTAACAACAAAACAGAATGCTGGATTACAAGAAGCTGTTTCATTTAGTGTTGCTGTTGATGAAAGTACCGACGTAAATGATATTGCGCGGCTTGCAGTATTTGCACGGTATTGTGATAAAGATCAAGTTTATGAAGAATTGTGTACTTTGATTCCTCTGTCTGGGACAACTAAGGGGGAGGATATTCTTTCTTCATTCATAAGTTATTTTGACAGCAAGAACATTAATGTCAAAAAAATATTTTCTGTAACTACTGACGGCGCAGCTGCAATGATTGGCAAATATAGAGGATTTGTCAAACTTCTTGAAAATCATATTGGACATAAAATATTGAACTTCCATTGTATAATACACCAGGAAAGTTTAGTTGCCAAAATTTCGTCACAGCGCTTAATTCCTGTAATGAACACTGTTGTTAAAATAGTTAATTTTATAGTGTCTCGCTCTTCACTAACACACAGACAATTTAAATCTCTTTTAGAAGAAATGGAAAGTGAATATGTTGACCTTCCCTCATACAGCCATGTTCGTTGGCTTAGTCGGGGCAATGTCTTAAATAAGTTTGTGTCATGTCTGGAACCCATCAAAGTTTTTCTTAACGAAAAGGAACAACATTTCCCCGAATTGAACGATGAAGAATGGTTAGGCAAATTAATGTTTCTGACCGATGTAACAAATCATCTAAATGAACTAAACTTGAAATTGCAAGGAAAGCGCCAAACGGTGCTCGAATTATTTGAATATTGAACAGCATTTGCGTCAAAATTAAATATATTTTTACGTGATATTAACACGAGCACCTACAAATACTTCCCAAATGTGAGAGCGCTTGCAAATGAATCGACCGTAAGCAACAATGAACTCAAAACCTACGTTGAAGCACTTAAAGATGAATTTTGCAAAAGATGCAAAGACTTTGAAGCTTATGTGCCTATATTTTTCTTCCTCATACAGCCAGATTTAGATTCATCAACAATACCGTTCGATTGTCCAATTTTCTAGTGGATGAATGTTGATAATTTCGAAATGGAAATTATCGAACTAACATCGTCAGAATTATGGAAAACAAAATTTAAAGAACTACGAAAAAATCTAGTGGATGACTCTATAGAAAAATCGACGGTCATATTAAATTGTTGGATGTCTTTGCCGGAAAGATTTATTTGTTTAAAGAAAATTGCATGCGCTCTCCTTTCAGCTTTTGGTTCCACATATCTTTGTGAACAAATTTTTTCACACATGAAAAATATTTTGAGTTCACAAAGAAGTCGTTTAACAACTGAACATTCAGAATCATGTGTGAAATTAAAAGTAACAAATTATACCCCGGATATTGAATTGTTAAGCAAAAATGTACAGGGACAAGGTTCACATTAAAATTGTTTAGTTTATGTTAGAATTGTAGGTTATTTGTTAATAAATATGTTTAAAAGATAAATTTGGTTTTAATTCATCTTTCCTAGAACCTAATTATATATTTCAGAATCAGGGGCGTAACTACCGCCGTATCAGCCATATCAGCCCCAAGCCAGGGGGGCCCCCAACGTCCGTAAGCAAATATTAATAATAAAAAAATTATTTCACAAAAAGCGAATTAATCGTGAAAAATTTGTTCAGTGAAATTTAATTTCATTAAGAGAAATGTAAAATTATTGTTTTAAAGTGTATTTTTCCGGGCCATGGGGGCCCAACCTGCCCAAATATTAATAGAATCTTACGAATTTTTATCTTATTTTACAAATAACAAAAGTTAAAATAATCATGAAAACTTCCTTGCAACTAAATTTAATTTCGAATAAAACATGAGCGTGTAAAATGTAAAAATATAAAGAGAGTTGCGATTGCGATAGAATAGAAAACATATTACGTCATTTTGTGCAAATTAAAAAATTAAAATTAATTCAGCAGTTTGCTAAATGTCTCGAAAAATTATCAAAGAATGGAGCGTAAACGACTGTTTTCAAAAACAAAAGGCAAAGTATAGCAACCCGTTATCTTGTTTCAAACTCAACATATACTAATGCTAAATATACATATTAATTTCTGAAATTAAACAAAGCTCAGAGACTTCGACTCAATTAGTATGTTCGAATAATTACAACTTGAGTAATTTAGCAAAAACACCTGTCTTCATGAAACTTTCGTCTAAATACAGTAAGATCATCTCTGTTAATTTTTATAACCAATTGTAAACACTCGAAAAATATGTCTAAAATATGAAATTCAATATTTATTATATCGCTGTCAAAATTCAATACTTTTGCTTAAAATTTTCCCGAAGTAATTTTTGCATACAATTTACCCAGTTTCAACCGCAAATGCTGAAAAAAGTTTTTCAAAAATAAAACTGATACAAAATTAGCTAATTAGTTGTAAGTCTTAGGAAACTTTGCTTGTATTTCCCGATATGTGTAAATAATCGACACAATCAATAAGAATTTAGATTTATTCCAAATTTTTTGATTTTTTAAAAGAAAAAGAGGTCCGGGGGATATAATCCGAACAGTTCTTGATTTTGAAACGAGGGCGAAAATTTTAGCACTCTTCTCCTAATTTCGAGAAATCGGCTCAGTCTATCGTTGTAAACAAACATTTTCTGGCAAAAAAATTTAAACATTTCTTTCAGGAAGTTAAATTCTTCTATGATACACAAACAGCACTCAGATCATTATTGTTCATAGAAGCAGAAACTTTATCCCCAAAAAAATTTTGATACGGGGCCCCGCCAATGTACGCTACGTCCTTGTTCAGAATTAAGGCGGCACTCTGAATCATATTGGTACAGTGGCTTGGCACACCACAGTTAAAAGGTTGCCGACCCCTGGTTTACATTAAGCTATATATTACATAAGATGTATTATATTAATGAAAGACGTTACTTGAGGCGGAATCGAGGGACGACCGGTACAATTTTCACCGGTGTGTGAGGTCTTTCAATTGAAGTCTAATCTGAATTTCATTTGTATTACTATCTGATGTGTACCATCGGTGGTTTCAAAGAGCTTGTGCGTCCTATTTCTATCGTCCAGCATTTCCAAGTTTTCAGGGTCAGCTTCGCGTGTGACTTTTTCAAGGCAACAGTCTTCCATCGATTGGGGGTTGTTTCTCTCTAAGCACTGTGAAATCAATATTCATTTCAATATTATAAATATACTTCATGCGTTCATCAACATGAACACTGTTAATGCTCATTTCAAACATTTTATTGTTAAATAATAGATAAAACAATTTTTATTATAAAATTATACCATTCTTTTTTAATTAAAACAGAATGATTTTCTTGCCTTCCGTCATTGAAGAAAACAGATGGAATTGCTTTTTTTGAGTGAGTCTTGTGTGTATTCTTCAAACACAAGTTGTGAAACCTTACTGAGTGTCCTTGCCCTTCGCTTTTTATTTTTCGTTTAAGTCAAGAAAAAACTTGATCTGCAGCCCCTTCTTGTGAATCTTTTGGTGCTTCTTGTCGCTTTTCCATTGATTCCGCCAGTCTGATTATTGCACAAGTAAAGATATCATCGTTTGATGAGTCCTTTCTATTTTTTTTTTCGGTCTTATTCATTGGTATATCCAGCAAAAGTAGAAAGAGCAGATGAAAAACACTCAAAATTTGATGCTGATACTCCAGGTGCCTCAAATATAGCACAGTCATCCTCCACACCTGCCACAACATCACATTCAAGGTACTCCTGCGTCTGAGGTGTTTTAATCGAGCTTCTACTTAGTCTCGGTGTGTGAAAACTTTCTAAAAACGATAGTTTTGAGAAGTACCACAAAAAGGATTTATACGCCTATAAGGTATATAAGGTACATTAGTCAGATGCTGGATATTTTACTAAAGGTAATTATTGAATAAAAAAAGGAAACAAACTTACATTTTCGGTCCCAATCCCGCTTCTCATTGATGCTTTTACCTTATTGTTCTCAAAATTGTATTGTGTTCTTAAAGCTTTAAATTTTTTTGGCATTCATCTCGAGTCCCTCAAATATAGGACAGTCATCCTCCACACCTGCCACTACATCACATTCAAGGTACTCCTGCGTCTGAGGTGCTTCAATCGAGCTTCTACTTTTTCTCAGTGGGAGAAATCTTTCTAAAAACGATAGTTTTGAGAAGTACCACAAACAGGGTTTATAGACCTATAAGGTATATAAGGTGCATTAGTCAGATGCTGGATATTTTATTAAATTTAATAAAAAAGAGAAAACAAACTTACATTTTCGGTCCCAATCCCGTTTCTCATTGATGCTTTTACCTTATTGTTCTCGAAATTGTATTGTGTTCTTAAAGGTTTGAATTTCTTTTGGCATTCATCTCGAGTCACTGTGGGCTGTATTCTCAACATTTTTGTACAACTCTGTCCAATGCTTGGCCTCTCAAATGTTTATCGTGATATGCAGGCGAGTCTGTAGCATAAAGACAAGTTTCTTCTCGTACAATATCAATTAACGATTCAATTTGATTCCTCGACCACTTGTCGGAATTCATTCTGGTAATATTTATATACTATACCCTGGACAATATTAAAATACGATGTATTCATGCACAATGGCAAGTCACAACGATAAACACCGAAAACTTGCCAAACCCCAAGGTCACGAGTCAAGTACATGCGTTGAATCACGTGGCAAAATTCAGCTTTCCTATTGGACACTGAAAGTACCAGCCACCAAATAGTTAATCTGTCCCCTAATAGGACGTGCTCTATTCGTAAAATACGACAGGAATTTCCGAGGACAGAAGTTATGAAAATCAGTTTCTGACCTTGCGTGGCAGCAATTAGGTTAAGGATACTGCCGTAGTAAATAGCGGCTTACACGTGAAATCTGGCTGGCAAGATCAAAAAATATGTCGGTCAAGATCCTAAATTATGATTTATTATATCGATGCTAGGTAACAAACTGTTCGGCATGAAATCTGGCTTGAACAGAATTATAATTCTGTCCTTTACAATTCCACTCTAGAGTAAAGCTCAAAAGGATCTTCTTTTCTCCCTAATTTTTCCAAGCCCGTTCCCTTGACAGTGGTTTTGCTAGAAAGTAGATAGCGTCAGTAGGAATCTCGTTACTCCATTCATGCGCGTCCCTAATTAGGTGACGAGGCATTTGGCTATAAAAATGTGCCAAAGTTGGACACTTCTTGGTATGATATTGACCAGTCGCGATTAAGACACTTGATTTCCTCGTGACCAGAGCACCGTGTCAAGACATCGGCACCGTAATTGCTACGATTCAATCAAGCGTCGTATCTGCTGCATTTGACAAACGAGATGTTGTTGTTTGTCAAACGCCTCACATAAGCTAGAAGGGCTATAAACGCAGAACAAAAAAGTAGGCAACATAGACAATACAATAGGCCTCCCGTGATTTCTTCCTCTGCGTTTTATATAAAAAATAAAATTAAAGAAACCCGCAGCTGCGACACATACAGGTACGCTTTGGAAGTACATCACCCGGCAAATTTATAAAATATCGTTTTCAGAAGAATTCATTATCAATTGTTTCTTGCGTGGTGTTCGTCAGCATCTCGTACTAGCCGTCTAAGAACCTGTTGCCCATTTCTATCGATGTTCTAACTGCAACCAATGATGATGTTATGCCAGTGTGTTTGGGATGTTTGGAAAGGAAGGGTATGTTTGATAAGGGTTTGGGGGGTAGAGAACTACGGGACCCCACAACTATCGGGAGAACCCGACAGTGTGTTGCTCCCGTTATATTGAGTACCTCTGAATAGAGGCACTCATATTTGA